TATGGGCAAAGTGGCAATAAGGACTGGAGGGGAAGTAGAAATAAAAATACTATAAGATTCTTATATGTGAAGTGATATAAATTGTCAGAAGTTATAATTGTTATTAGGTAAAGATGAACTATATAAAATAAAAAATGATCATTAAAATTTCACTTAACAAGATACAAAAGTGACCTCAATTAAAGCACATGGCTGTCAGATTGGATTTTGCAAGATCACAGGCGATAGGCTTAGTGGATGAAATATACTTCAAATAGAAATACAAAATAGGCTGAGTAAATATAAAAAAATATGCTGTGTTAACTTTCAATTAAAAAAATACAAAACCTGAAGCAATATTAACATCAAAGTAGGTGTCAGAGCAGAGCACATTTTCAGAGATAAAGAAGTCAGCTCATAATAAAACAAGAAACAAAGAGAACATTAAAAACTCTAAAAACAAAAATAAAAAGAAACCCTCTAACTATAGAAGAAAGAACTAGGAGGCAAAATACATTTATAGAGGTATAAATATAGGCATGTGCATATGTAAATATATTACTATATAACGATAGGGATGTAGGTACGTGTACATATATTTATATGTTAAGGATCAAGGTAGCAGATGGACGTTGGGCATCTACTCTAGTCCTCCTTCAACGCAAGAACACTTTGTTCTAGTAACCTAACACTGTGTGATGCTCACGTTCCTGACACTCTCTACAGGCAAAATGGGTGTATAAGCAAATGTGGTGAATTTAAGCAAGCTGGTATTGCCTGGCTATTAGAAGATATAGCCTCTGGGGTCTTAAAGGCTTAAAGTTAAACAAGCAGCCATCTAGCAGGGAAGTAACAAAACCCACATGGAAGATGCACACCAGCCTGTGTGATGATGTGGATGGGCTCAGGAATCAGGCATCAGAAGACTCCAAACCCATCTGCAGAGAATTGGATATCCCCTCACAGAAGGACCACAAGGAAGGGATGAGCCAGCCAGGGTGCAGTATAGCTTCGACAAAACACACAACATTCTGCTAGTTCTTTAATGCTTCCTCCCCCAACTATCATGGCCCCAGTTCTACCTTACAAATCTGGCTAGACTGGACTACAGTGAACCCTCGCCACTTCGCGCTTCGACTTCTGCGGCTTCACTCTATCGCGGTTTTTGCGTTAACAGCGCATGCTCTGTCATTACTGCCACTGATTGGCTCATACTGTACACGCTTGATGACATAAATAATATAATAAATAATAAATGATAATTGTAACGTCCAAAATGTTTTACTGTATTTTCCCTTTTTCGTTTAATAAATTGGTTAATACGAGTGTAATGGTGACTAAAGAATGTTTTTTCATGTCCTCTATGCTCTAACTACGAAAATACTTGATTTACAAATAAGGAATCCTACTTCGCGGAATTTCATTTATCATGGTAGGGTCTAGAACCGATTAACCGCGATAAATGAGGGTTCACTGTATATACACTAACACAGATAAGAGCTCTTGACAAACAGAATCCAGGGCAGATACATCTCTTAGGAACAAGAATGGGAGTAGTGATACCATGAGGGTAGGGGGGAAGATGGGGGAGAGAAGGTGATTGAATGTCAACGATAGACATATAACATCCCCCACCACCACCACTATCGCCCAGGGGGATGAACAACAGAACATGGGTGAAGGGAGGCAGTGGACGGTGTAAGATATGAAAATAACAATAATTTATAATTTATCAAGGGGTGGAAAGGGTGGGACGGTGGGAGAGGGAGGGGAAAAAAAGCTGATACCAAGGGTTAAAGTATAAAGCAAATGCTTTCTTTGAAAATGGTGTTGGTGACAACATTACAGTGGGTGAAGGGAGACGTCGGACAGTGCAAGATATGACAAAATAACAATTGTGTCATATAAGAATATGGTATTTTATATAATATCATATATGATATTATTATTATAATAATAAAACAATAATAATTTATGACAAAGTAATAAATTATCAAGGGTTCATGAGGGGGGGCAGCGGGGAGAGAAGGGAAAGGATGAGGAGCTGATGCCAGGGGATTAGGTATAGAGCAGATGTTCTGAGAATGATGAGGGCAATGAATGCACAAATGTGCTTTACACAATTGATGTGTGTATGGATTGTGATGAGTTGTATGCACCCCTAATATAATGATAAAAAAACTGAACCTCAAAAAAAGAAAAGAAAACGGTGATGACAACATGTGTACAAATATGCTTGATACACTTGATGTATGGATTGTTCTAAGAACTGTTAAGAGTCCCCAATAAAATGATTTATACATAATAATAAAACAAAAACAAATCTCTGTTTACACATATACTATCATGGCTTCAAAACAGGCAAAACAAAAACAGTACTGCCTGGAGATACAGGCAAATCCACAATTACAGTAGGAGCTTTTGATAAGTCTTGGTCAATAATAGAAAAAATAGGCACGTTCACACATTTTGAATGCTCCTTCTAAACTCCCAGTAAGCCTCACTGCAGAAACCTATGCCTGCATGTCTTGGCAAGCTTTTGTAGGCATTGACCACTGTATCCCACAACGTGCCTGCTTGCTGCTGACGTCACGGCGGGGAGAGGTTTGCCCAGAGAGATGGCTGCTGCGCTGTGAGCAGGGATACAAATTCTAAGACCTGATGGGCCACTCGAAACTCATGTTTTACGTTTTCTAGAGCTCAGCTACATCACTTTTACAAAGAAGAGGTTAGGCTTGGTTACTTCTCAAAGTCCTGGCTTTCTTACGGCATAATTCTCCAACTTCAGCTCGGGTCATCACTACCTCAAGAATATCAAGGTCTTCCCTCTCTGGAAAGACTTGTCTATGGCAGAGAGATGGCTTATGGAAGTGGCTTCTCTGTTCAGCTCACAGGGTGCACTGGAAAGAAGTTGCATCTATGAATGATCGTGCTCAAAGGATGTGGTAGTTATATAATTTCATGTCAACCTGAAGATATATAAATGTGTAGGGGTGGAATTCAACCTGTCAATCAGGTCACAGCCTGATGGTGACTCCTGTGGGTGTGGCCTTCTCAATAAGGAGGGTCCTGGGAACCTCCCCTCTCTCAGTGCCTTCACCTTCCTGCTGGGCGACCCTGATTGCTGTCAGATGTGTCCACCATCATTGGATCCACGGGACTTTGCATCCACTGGGCTGTGATATTCCTGCATTCTGCATCATTGCATGGTGCTTTGTGAGTGTGAAGAACGACTTATGGACTAATATTGGACTTAGGGACTTGAGTTAGACTGGGCTGGGATATATAATTATTTCTTGATATAAAGCTCTTTTTTACACATGAGTGTCACTGAATTTGTTTCTCTAGTCAACCAGGCCTAACACACAGCATCTCATCTCTCTTTGTTTCTTTCTTATGGCCTTCAGTCTCTAGGCCGCCTTCCCACCACCTACACCATGCAGTGAACTGTAAAGTGAGCTCCCGCTTGACTTACCCGGGGAGGAACAGCCTGCAGGGCAGTGATGTAGTTCTCCAGAGCCAGGCGGCGGCGGTCGTTGAGCATGGCTTCCACTCTGGCCATGTGGGTCTCCACCAGCTGCTGTCTCTCATTGGCGGCTTCCTGCTCCAGGGACTCCACTTTCTCCTGGAAATGCTGCCATTGTACAGACATACGCATTAAGGAGGCCCTAAGCAAGTAGGGTGAGGCAACCAACTCAACATTTTAAAGAGTGAGACATCCATTTTCTCCAAAAGAGCGAGATCATTTTAACATCTTGCTTGAATCCGGCACGATTTAGGAGTTACTCCTGCTTTCTGACAGCTTCTCATCAAAACTCAATTTGTTATTAAAAATCAGTGCTACACAGGGTCCCGTGTTTGATCTGATTACGATCTAAAAGAACCCTGGTGGCACCATGATGAAGAATGTGCCTGTTAATCAAAAGGTTGGTGGTTCAACTCCCCCAGTGGCTCTTCTCCCCAACAACAGTGTAGGGTTAAGGTAGACAATCTTACAACTCTAGATGATACTGCTTCTGAGCTGTTTCTTTTTTTTTTTTTTTTTTCATCAAATATTTATTGATCTTTTGTAGGGACCTTTCTTGAGTCTGCATATTTAACAATTATGTAAGATGATACAGTCCCTTCTTTCTCAATAGTAGGATTACGTACACTTGTGAGCAAACATATATACATACATACACACACACACATATATATATACATTTTAAGATGTAATGGGTTTCAAATTTTTTGATACAAATAAAAATTTAAGACAGAAAAACAAATAAATCCATAAGGCAAGAAGGGAACAAATGATAAGGAAATAAAATAGAAAAAAAAAAAAAAGGAGAAAATCTTAAAACAAGATAAGCAAAAGGATAAAGACCGAAGAAAACTGTCAGGCCAAGGCTAACCTAAAGAAAGCTGGTTACCTTATAAGGGAGATTCAAAAATTACATGGGAAAATGGGAGAAAAAAAATTTCCCCACAAACTTTTTGAAGCTTTTATTAATAATAAATTATTTTATCAATAGTAAATAACACTACAATAAAGGTTCCAAACCACCAAACCAAATTCATTGCTGTCATCGATTCTGACAACTAGCAACTCTATAGCTCAGTTTAAAAGATAATATAAATTTGTATGTACCTTACTATGACATTTGCAGAGTGTAAACCAAAATTATAAAGAGAAATGATAGTTTGGGTCAGTCCCTCCTCACCCATTCCTGGCTGCACCTTCCCTTCACACCAGTGCCAGATCTTGCCATGTTTGCACTTGAGTATCTACAGTTCTTTCCCTTTGCCCATGAGGAAACACATGACGACAAGGCCGTGTCCCGATCTGGGTCACAGAAGTTAATGTTCTCAAGTTCATAGATTGTGCGGTTTAACTTCCAATTTGTCTCCTATCCACCCGTCTTATGTCATTCACCTGAGAGGGTCACCCCATCTCCTCCCAGGCTGAGCCCGTGGTTTTGCTCCTTGGGCCAAGTCCGTTCCTGAGGTTTACCTTCAGGAATATCATGGTGGATAGACTACTGAGGTGGCTGCCGCTCTGCCTCCGCCTCGGGGAGCATCTGATTCTGCAGGTTGCACAGTAGCTGCAGGAAGGCCTGGTGTCTGTGCAGCTTATCCCGTTCCTGTTCGGCCTGACTCATCAAGCTTCCGAGGTCCTGATACAGCCGTTCAACCTCCTGCTGAGTTTCCCTCTGTCGATCTCTTATTTCTGCCACATGCTGCACATGCATCTCCTGCTGTAGTTGCCACTGCTGCTGGGCTGCCCTTTGTGTCTCCATGGCCACTTGCTTCTTGGCCTGGAGCTGCTCAAGCGCCCCCTGGAGCTTGGCCTGCTTCAGCCGGGCCTCCTCCATCAGAGGCAGGGCCTGCTTCAGACCACTTGTGATGGCCTCCACGTGTTCCTGATAGGTGGCCTTCAGCTCTTTCCACTGCTCCTTGGCTTCTGCTGCCATTTTCCGGCTTGTGTCTTCAGAAGCTAGACCCTGGGCAGTGTCCTCATTCACCATGAAACTCTGCAGGAAGTCCGCTACTGGCAGCTGGCTACACAGAAGCTTGTCCTTCTTCCGAGAGTCCATCACAAACTCAGCCAACATCTGTGCAGGCAGCTCTGCTTCTTCCTGCAAGCCTGCGGGCTCCAGAATGGTACTCAATTTGGCCAATGCCTTTAAGACCTCCGCCTCCATTCTTCCCCGGTTCTGGCTTCCACACACGTCCCTCTGAGCTGTTTCTGGGTGTTTGAACCCCAACTTTCCAGTTAGTGGTGAACACTTATTAGTCAAGGCCTGGTGGCACCGCCTGGTAAGAGTTGAACTGCTAACTACAAGGTCCATTGATAAACCCACCAGCTGCTCCAAGAGAGAATGATAATCTTTCCGATCAAGTACAGGAAAGATCTACACCCTCAGAAACCCTGTATTGGGTCACTAGGAGTTGGAATCCACTTGATGGTGCTGAGTCTTACCAGGGACCTAGTAAAATATGACAGCAATCCTATTTATACTCTTGATGAAAAGTATATTGTTAGTAATCACCACAAAATTTAAGGGATGACTTATCATTTGAACTAATTAAAGCAAATTTAAATATCTCACATTATCACTAAGCAACAATAACACGTTGATTCCATCTGATATCTACTGTGTGTTTTACAGAGCAGACTTCTCCAGGGGTCTCCTGGCTGTAACAGTTATGGCAATAGATTTCCAGACCCCCTCTTCCACAGTACTGCTGGGTGGGTTGGGACCACTGACCCTTAGGTTACCAGCGGAGTGCAAACTGGTAACATAACCGGTGGGTAGCTAAGGTTAATGGAACTCATAATCATCACCCAGGAGGTTCCATAGAGTCTGGAGAGCCTGCAGACTCTGGGTAAACGGAGCTTGAGCATTTCCTGCTTGGGGCCAATTTACCTGGATAACTGCCTTCTTATCAGCTTTGGGCAAGTTCTTTGCTTGACGTTCTGCCTCTTCCCATTCTCTCATGACCTAGAAAATGAAAGAAAACAAAAACAAAACAACACTTCATTTAAAATAACCATTCCCTCAACAAATACACATTAATGGCATACATTATGATACCGTGCTTGTATTTTTGTCCTTCTAATTGTTTGAAAAACACCCTATTTTCTTACAAATATCGAATATTGAGCTTGCATTAGAATGAAAATAATTGATAACAGAAACATGTGTTCACACTTCTAGCAAGATTATGAACCAATCCAATAAAGCTGGTTTTACTCTTTGCTAAGAAATGGCTGAAAATAATTTTAGTTGTTATGAGCAAATGGCAACACTTTGGAAGAAACAGGATTTTTAAACAACGGGTTCCACTTTCAGCTCAGCATAACCTCTTTGGTCGTTGCTGACAACAAGTTCAGAAAGTTCAGAGAGTACATCTTTGAAATGGTACATCTGAAGCGAGGAAGAAAGGCCTAGTTCATGTGTGTGCCTAGGCCATCAAGGAAGAAACACAACCCCGAGGCAGAGAAACAGGACTTCTACTGTCGGAAATTGTAAGGCCCGTCCGGCCCTTTGAAGAACTGGTGGCAGAGCGTACTGCATTAGGGCCTTTGGATGGCCACGCCCAGGGAGAGACAATAAGGACTCCTCGAAATCCCGCCCCCCAACCCCCCAGGGCGCGCTAAGCACTCTAATATTCTAATGCAGCAGAAGAAGTATTCCTGGCAACAACTGTTCATTTAGAAGCCCGGATCATCTGCTGTGCAGCAACCTTGGTTACCCAGGAACTCCCTAAATAAAATTCACCCAATTATCTGAATGCAAAGAAGAAAATCTTCGGCTGACCATGCTGCTGAAAGAAAATGCTATTTGATTCTTGAAATCGTCAACTATGGTGACATGTATAGTTGAAGCACAACTCGTACCTGAACGAGATAGGATGAAAACAACATCAGAGAAGTCAAGTACTCAAAATGTCAATTGTTTTATTGCCAATTGTACTTTACTAGTTTGCCTACTTTCAAATTATAAAAAGTTTTAATTTATCTATTTTAAAATGTCTGTCATTAAAGGTGTTAATCTCTAGAAACTGCTAGAAATACATTTTAGAATGCTCTTTAGAAGCAAGGATGGCAAGACTTTTGCTTCTCTTACTTTGGGTTTCCTATAGGAAAATCAATTGATTTTTTTCAATTAACTCATTAATTAATTGAAAATTAATTGATTTCCCATAGGAAAAGCAATTGCTTGAAAAGGACATCATACTTGGTATAATAGAAGAACACCGAAAAATGGTAGGGGAAATCTCCATGAAATGGACGAAGTCAACATTTCATTCTATATTCAGAACTCCATCCATAAGTCGCTGTGAGTCAGAGCTGACTGGACAATAATTAACAACAACAACTGTTTCTCTTTTCCTTCACGATCACCAACACAGATCGGATTGCAGTAAGGAGTGAGAGAGACCTATGGAGGGTGGGTTGGAAAGGGGGAACCGATTACTAGGATCTACATGTGACCTCCTCCCTGGGGGAAGGACAACAGAAAAGTGGGTGAAGGGAGACATCGGACAGGGCAAGATATGACAAAATAATAATTTATAAATTATCAAGGGTTCATGAGGGAGGGGGGAGCAGGGAGGGAGAGGGTGGGAAATGAGGACCTGATGCCAGGGGCTTAAGTGGAGAGCAAATGTTTTGAGAATGATGAGGGCAATGAATGTACAAATGTGCTTTACATAATTAATGTGTGTATGGATTGTGATAAGAGTTGTAGGAGCCCCTAATAAAATGATTTAAAAAAAGAGACCTATGAAATAATACATAATCAAATTATATCCTGGGTCCTCATAAGTTATTTTATTGGTCGTTAGAGTTAACTTTTTATATAAAATACGTGATTAGAGTCCACCTATTGCTTTAGAGAATTACAGAGAAAACAGGATAGAAAGTGTTTTTAGTACAGTCGAAGAACATATGAGCTTTTCCATCTGCGGTGCTTCTGTTTCTCTGCTCGTTATGTGGGCCTCCTTGGACGTGAGGTCACTCAGCCTGGGCCCTGCTCTTTGCTTCCATATGTGGTTAGTGTGGCCAGAAGGCCCAGGAAGCTGTTGGAGGAGGGAGTACCTGCTGGGCCACCAACGTAACGGAGTGCCAACACTTCCAACCCTTGCTCTCGTCAACTGAAGTTTGCTCCTGGCGGGAATCTGACTTTGAATAGTAGTAATAGTAGTCTCCAAATAGTACTAATAGTAGTCTCCTATTAGTTGATGTCTCTCCCTGTCACCCACTGATGGACTGTAGTAAGGAAGTATCAATAGCAGACTCTGTCCAGGCCTCTCAAAGGGAAGACCCTCTAACTGTGGAGTGGAGCAAAATTAGACAGGACCATGCCGGGGCCAATTGTGTACTCTGCCTGAGCACTGCCTGAGTTAAAAAGCCTGTGCCCAGTTTGTTGAGGCAAACAGGGTAATCAGCCTTAAAAATAGTGAAGTATTTTACATAACATTTTCTTGTATTTGGCAAAAAAAAAAAAACAACATATAAAAAATAACCTGGGCTTCACAGCAAAATGAGGACAAATGGCCTGCTGTTATGAATAAGAATAGAGCATGCAAGAAATGAAACATTGTCAGAGACAGTTTAGTGTAGGCAAGAGGGTCATCTACTTTCACTTCACCAAAGAGTGCAGTAGAAATCATTTTAATGTCCTGCTTTGAGAATGTTCGGAGCATACACTACCATGCATTCCATAGCAAAGAACCTCACAATCAGATTGAAATAGAAGCCAGATGTCATATCAGAATATGAAAAATATCCTTTTATATGACGATGACCTAATTTGGGTCATTCACAATGTAGCCTTTAGCTTTGAGCAGGGAACTCATAATGATACTGTTGTGGTTGGGTCCATTGAACTGAGTCAACTCACAGTGGTCCCATCTGGTACAGCAGAACTGCCGAAGCAGAGTGTGTAAGTTTTAACCTTTATGAAAGAAAGTCCTTCTCCGGAAGAGACATTGGTTTGCCTTTGCCCAGGGGTTGCCATGAGTTGGGATCAACTTGACAGACAACATAGGAACATAGCTTAAAAACAGGAAACTTAGAATAAGGGTAATGTTTTGTTTTAAAGGGCTTCATTGAAGGGCTAGAGTAAAACTGGTAGTTGCTCATGTTTGGGGGAGAGGGAGAAGACCAATGAGTTCCTGCCATATAGGATTGTTTGCGACACTCCAGATCAAAACACACTCCTCCAAGGGTGCTCAGGAAGCCTTAATGGAAATTCGGGTGCAGTGGCGGGGAGGGGGAAGACATGTTTGTCTCAGAGAAGTTGAGTTCACTTCTGTTGATTGATACACTACGCGAGAGAACCTGCCAAGGGGAAAACACTTTACATTACTTCCAAAGACCCCCAATGGGAGACTTCTGTTTCGAATCAGGCATTTTTGATCTGTTTTTTTTTACAGCCCTTGGTGACCTATGCCATGTGCTATAGACTCCTGGGACTTTGGACTTAACTCTTCTGAGGGGCACAACATCCTCCATAGACCACAGCAGAAGGATCTGATTTTAAAACCCCATTAATCGCAATAGACTTTCCCTTTAACACACCGATAGCAGATTAATGGAACTGAATCACCACCTTAGACTGAGGGCTGAAACACCCCGGTGTGAGAAGAAGCAGGTTTTGGATTTGGAAGTCAGTGGACTTGGGTTCAAATAGCTTTCTTTGCCAATGCCCTAAGACTACCAACTTCAGACTACCATGTATTTGCTATGTTCATGCACTAGGCTTTTTGTATGACATTCCTTAGTGCAGCAGGCTTCGTTCTGCCTTTGTGAATAAGAGTGATTGACAGTGTTGTCCTACATCCTACCCTCATTGTTTAAGTAACTCGTGTCCACTCATGCAGATTTTTAATCTGTACGAGTCAACAATCCATGTCATTTAGTCTAAGAAACTGTCCTATACATGTATACTTTCCTTTTATCCACAATACTTTAAATTCTGTATCATTGTCTAAATTAGTGATATTATCAATAGAACTACCACATGCTCCATGGGGATTGCTTATATTTCTCAATAAAATGATATTGTTGTCTCTAAAGTGGACCAGGGGCATGTATAAAACA